GTTCCTTTTTCTACATTTGTTGGGAAGCTGAGTCATCTCAAACAATTTTGTGCAGGTAATCCCACTTCAAATGTTTGGAAACCACAGTGGTGTGAATGAGCAGAAAGGATGCAAGCTGGTGGTAGCAAAATATATCCTGAAGACTTTTATGCTGTTTAGTTTGAGAATTACTGGTCTGTAAGACTTAAAATTATAGTTGTTTCACTGCGAGTAATAATGTGTAGTTGTAGTTCTTAAGAAAGCTGAGAATGGTATGCTTCAATTGGAAATCCAAATTTCTAGTGGTAGTGGTAAGATGGTACGTTGTATTCTATAGCATTAATGCAGCAATAACCTTTCTGCCTTCCTTTCAAATTCAAGTTGCTAAAGCATGCTGGACTGCAAAAATATTTCTTCTTTGAGAAAGTGACTTCAAACTCTAAACGCTGACATTTGTTATTTTAGCTTAGTTGTGTTTTACTTTTTCCAAGGGAGATGCTTCCTACCAGTTCTTGGTTAGATAGGACAGGGGGGGAAAAACAAATTAATTCTACTTTTTCTCAGTACTCCTTATTTGAGTACTGAGAAAATATTTCGGTGTATTCACCTTCTATCAGTCAAATTATATCCTTCACATCTGCACTGGGAAATTTGATAGGAAAATAACATGTAAGACTTAATGGGGAAAGTGAATGGATGTAGAAGATAATAGGTGTCAAGCATTACGACCTTGACATCTAACAAGAGAAATGAGGAGTATTCTTGGTATAAATGCTAGATAAAATACCACTGCCTGCATCTTCAGTGGTTTCCAGCTCTAACAGTCGTCATGGAGATTACTTTGTGTCTTTTTCCATGTTTCTGAAATTACGAAGGAACAGATGAGATTAGACAATTAGTATTTCTGCTTCATCATTTAATGAAAATACATTTAAAGAAGGCTTTTACTTTCTCCCTGGTTCTGCAAGTTTTGCTAATGCATGTTGAACTCCTTCGAGCACTGTTTATATATGTGTAACATGAATAGACACAATAATGCATATAGCAGTCATTTTCAAATTGCTGCATTAAAAATTTGGAAAAAAAATTAGTAGAGTTGAGGTGGTTTTAAGAGATATTTAAATGTTTTGGGGTGTTTTTTTTTTCTTTTTTCCTATTAAATTCCTGGGTAGCTCCTCTCTTTCTGTCTTGCATCCAAACACAGTGAAGTGTTTATAAGAAACCAGATTGATCATCCATACCTGGCTTCTTGATAGAAATAGGTAGTCAGCTGAGTGTTAAGAAAAGTAAGATGGAAAATTATTAAAGCATGAACTGGAACATATCTCAGCTGGCTTCATAACAGAGGAAGGAGAAGTGACAGCTCTCACACTCACTGGAAAGGAGCACTGGGGTATGACTCTGTGTATCTATGTTCTGTGTAAATCTGATAGTTTTACGTTGGGATGTTGTTAAAGGCAATGCCCAGTCTGTGGCAGCTTTTGTAGCTGGCCATTCTAGTGCCCTTCTGTGTGCAGGTGTGTGTTTATTTGTGTGCATTCCTGGGATACACACTAAACATGCTACGAAAGCTATAGCTGTCTTCAGCAACCTGAAATGGATAGCCTTCAAAGTCTCTCAGGAGAGCTGGACTGGGCTCCAGCAGTCAGAAGGGAGGAGTCCCCAGGTCTCAGAGCATCCCAGAAGTGGTAGGCTTTGTAATATCTCTTAACAGCTTTTATCCCCCAGCCCCTCTTTCTTTGGATTCCAGAATTCACAGCCTCTTCTACAAATTCTTCCAGGGGCACAGGATTCTGTGTAGTCAGCAGGTCTTTTACACAACTGTCATTATGTGCACAATAGACAGCAAGTCTTAACACCGTATAGATGATCAGTTAGCATATAATGGAACATAATGTAGAAATCTGAATCAGAAGAATCTTGTACATAATTAGTACCTTATATTAATGTCATGTGTGCTGTTGGTTGACATCTTCATTTCTGTAGTTCGTGAGCTTTCTGTTTTCTTTATTCATATGCATATATACATGTATCAGTCATTAGCAGCACTGTAGGCTGTTCAGAAAAAGCATCTTTCAAGTATACTTTGAATTCACTGTTCAGATATTTTCTAGTCTGATAATCCACCTTTTTACACTATTACAGGTAGTATTACTATTTTTTTACAGTATTATGGAGGGTTGCTGTAGTACTTGTGGGAAACTATGAACAGTCCTGGTTATTAGTCTGGCAGGCAGCTGCTTATCAGTTATGCTTTCAAAGCTATTGTTACCTTTTTTTTTCTTTTCTTTTTGGCTTTTTTTAGCATTGCTGCGGCCTACAATGCATAATGCATTAGTTTTTATTCAGTAGCTGTTTGTTATTGTGGTGCAGGTTTTCTGTCTTATGTTTGAAGTAGAAGATGATTGTCTAGTTCTTGTAGGAGTTCTTGTACAGGGCTTTTTCATTACCACAGTATACCCCAACATAAGGAATTAATTAACCTTCTTTTTTAACTGCCTTTAACCAGCTTCAGAGAGTCATAGAATCATTTAGGTTGAAAAGACCTTAAGAATTATGAAGTCCACTTAACGGTTAACCTAGCAGTGTCAAGTCCACCACTAAATCATGTTCTTAAGTGCCGCATCTACAGGTCTTTTAAATACCTCAGGAGTGGTGACTCAACTTCTTCCCTGCGCAGCCTGTTTCAGTACTTGACCACCCTTTTGGTGAAGAAATTTTTCCTAACAACCAATCAAAACTTCCCCTGGCATAACTCCTCTGTCCCTGTCACTTAAGAAAAGAGACTGACCCCCACCCTGCTGCAACTTCCTCTGAAGTAGTTGTAGAGCATGATAAGGTCCCTTCTGAGCCTCCTTTTCTCCATGCTAAGCCACCACATTTTCCCTCAGCCGTTCCTCGTCAGACTTGTGCTCCAGGCCCTTCACAAGCTCCTCAATGTCTGTCTTGTTCTGAGGGGCCCAGAACTGAACTCAGGATTTGAGGTGCAGCTTCACTGTGCTGAGTACAGGGGGATGATTGCTGCACTGGCCCTGCTGGCCACACTACTGCTGATACTGACCAGGATGCTATTGGCATTCTTGGCCACCTGGGCATAAGCTGGCTCATGTTCAACTGGCTGTTGACCAACACACAGAGGTCCTTTTCTGTCCACTCTTCCCCAGGCCTGTAATGTTGCAATGAGTTTGTTGTAACCCAAGAGCAGGACTTGGCATTTAACCTTCAGTTGTCTTCATTCCATAGTACCAAGTAATCTTTCTTAGTATGAGAAACTTAAATCATCAGGCATTTGAGAAATGAGATCTCTCTTTTATCTCAGTATTGTGTTATGAACTGATGTATAAAGTGGAAAGAGAATTTTGAAATGCTGGAATCAGCTGATGTTGCTGTGATGTACTGCAGTATCGCACACAGAGATGGAGTTTACTCAAGCACAGGTTGCCTCCTCAGTGTACTGCATTCATGCATTTCAACAGATGATTAGAAAATGTGCAGATAACCTGCACCAAGTCATAATTTTCCAAGTGAGTGCCATTTAGTTACTCCTGCTTTGTTTTAAGGTGTTTTAGTATTGAGAACATCACATTTCTCACTGTAATTTTGTTCTTAATTTCAGTCTTACTGGGAAAAAATGTCTCTGCCTTAAAAAAATCACAGAGTGGGAAAGTCTTGCATGTTGCAAGTTCTACACAGAGAAAGAATTGTAGTTTCCCCAAATGTATTTAAGAATAAAATAACATCATAGTAGTGCTGTACAGATCTGCTTTGGTAAAATTCAGTTGATAACTTCAATCCAGGTAATATTTTTTCCCTTGGTTAGTAGCTCCTGGTTAGCATTGTGTATGATAGATACGGGGAAAGTCAGAGATGATGACAATAAGGGATGGGAATAAGAGAATTTTAAAAAGGGCGAAAGAGGAAGAACCCAAGCTACTAAAAGCTTCTTGTAAGCTGTGTTCTTATAGGTGGTAACCAAGTGAATGAATTGCCGGTGGTACTTGAAACTGAATACGAGGGTACATGCTGGCAGAGTAGTTGAGCAGTAGATCATGGATCTTGAATTGGAGCATTTAATATGGTACATTGTTTGTCTAGTTAGCTAGGTGATATATGCCTTTGTTAAGTAGAAAGCCCTGGAAGACACTAGTAGAAAACTCTGGAAGACATTACTAATAAATGGCATCATGTTTCAGAATATGAATAAATCACTGTTAAATCCTGCAGTTCTCTTTAACAGTAACTGCCCTTTCATTTTCACATCTGAACAGAGTCAAAATTCTGTTTGCTTTCTACTGATCCGTAAGATTCCATGTGTGTTTATAGCAAGTCGTGCGGTGTAAAACCAAATAAGTAGAACACTGCACCAGAGAATACGGTTATCTTCTTCTTCCTAAAGGTTATAATATTGCAGACAGCACACTAGATTTTCAGTTTGTCAGTAATACTTCCTTTAAAGCAGTTATATTGGTTCTTACAGAGTTAAAATATGCTTATTAGACTTGGAAACTGTCTCCTTATAGTTGTCTCTTGTTGTTTTAGCCTCCTCCAGGAAATGTGAAATTGCCTAATGTACCCAGTACCCAGCCAGCAATAATGAAACCAACAGAAGAACCACCTGCTTACACACAAATTGCAAAGGTTTGTCTGCAACTTCAGGCACTAGGTTCCATTTTAGTATTTAAATACATTTGTGAAATAATGTATTTATTTCTGGAATCAGGTATTCTTAATGATTTATGAAAATTAATACTGCCTTTAAGTAATCAGTTAATGTATAAATTTGTGCAATATTAGGCCAGTTTTCATCCATAGCTGGAGATGCTTAATTACAGAAAACAGACTTGGAAATTTTATTTTGTGTTTGTATTTTGAATCTATATCTAACAATGCTTGTTTTGTTCAGGAGCATGCTTTGGCCCAGGCAGAACTGCTAAAGCGTCAAGAAGAACTGGAAAGAAAAGCAGCTGAATTAGATCGCAGAGAAAGGGAAATGCAGAGTCTCAATCAGCAGGGGGGTATGCATGAAAAAAATACGTCTTTAAATTGCAGATATTTAACGTTTTCTTAGAAACTATTTTAATATTACAGTGACATTTTGAAACAGGTCAAAGAGAAGGGTTTATAATCTTTTCAGGAAAAGAAAGTTTTATCTCCCTTGAGACAGTGCATATGGTGAATAAAACCTGTCCTGTCATGTGTAGATTTTCACTGTTAAAATTTTAAGTTTGGCCTTAAGGTGTTACTCTCTTGCTATCAGCTATTTTTATTCTAGGTTAATATCTAAGTATACAATTAAATAGAAATGGAGCATTTAGAGAAGTAGTAAAAGTAACTTCGTAAGGAAAATCTTTTATTTCTGTAAGTATTTATAGATGTAGGAGAACTTACCTGTTTTAAAACATTTTCTTTTTATCATCTCTTGCTATGTTACAGACAATAGTCTGCAAATAGCAGAAAGATCTATTATTAATTTTCTATTTTTCAAGACACTTTGGAACCTGTAGTCAAGATCAGTAATCTCACTTTGCTGCAAATTGTCTGCTGCACAAAACCATCAGGTTTTGTACAGCAGTTTCGCAAATGAGAAGATTTACATCTCCTTAACTGAAGATACTTTGCTAAAAGTAGATATGTGGGAATATTTCTTTTCAAAAGGAAGAACTTCAGTCTAAAAGCTAGGAAAAAAGCTAAAACATAACACTGTGTGCAAGGTTGACTTTGTGTGGTCTTTTCACTTGTATCTAGAATACTGACTGTTTTATTTCCACATGTGCTGGTGTTTTTTTAAAAATGCATTGGTGCAATTCCAGATAACATAATTACTTAGTAATTCAAAGTCTTGTGAATTTTATAAGTAGAGTGTTTCAGTTGGAAGGGGCCTACAGTGATCATCTAGCCCATCTGCCTGACCACTTCAAGGCTGACCAAAAGTTACAGCATGTTATTTAGGGCATTGTCCAAATGCCACTTAAACACCAGCAGGCTTGGGTCATTGACCACCTCTTTAGGAAGCCTGTTCAAGGGTTTGACCACCCTCTCAGTAAAGAAATGCTTCTCAGTGTTCCATCTAAACCTCCCATAGTGCAGCATTTAACCATTTTCATGTATCCTATCACTGGATACCTGGGAGAAAAGCTCAGCACCTCTGTCTCCACTTCCCCTCCTCAGGAAGCTGTAGAGAGCAGTCATATATGCCAGTCATTTGCTAGGATCTGGGAGTGAGAAATTGCTATTCTTCTTCTGAGGAAAAGAATCACAGTGATTTTGTTCCTTCATTAAGACATTTTTATTTTATTCATATTTGTTCTTTCCAGTATCTCTATTAAATCTCTGTACCTCTCCTCCCAGATAGTGGATATTTTTGTTGTGGGGTTTTTTTTCTTCCTTATTTCCTTCTCCATCTATTGCCTTTCATATAATTTCACTAATTTACAATGATGGTCTGGATTGATTGCTTTTCTCTTCCTGGCTTTAGGGACAGTTTTGTTCATCTGTATCTTGGAGATACATGTTACCTGATGCATGTTTCAGGTCATTTCTAAAATGAGTAATATTAGGTTGCAGTTGTTCACATCAAAATGCTTGAAGAGTCCATGAAGAATCTTAAAGGATTCTTTAGGAAGGCTGAGCAGAAAAAAGAGGGATTTTAAAGTATTAAAGAAGATGCTATTTTTTTTTTACCAAATGGCAGTGTAAAAGATGCTGCAAATCAGGAATCATCTATTGCGACTGAGAAGAAAAACACTTTAGAGTTGTCTTGATTGGAGGACAAGGTCTTCTGCAATACTCTAGCTATTTGCATTCAATTTAAGATACTGGCTGCCATCTAGGAAACTGTCATGCATAACTAACTACAGCGCAAAGGTCTTCAGGCTGATAGGTCAGCTCAGCCTTTGATATTTCTGCTGAGGTCCTGCGCAGCATTGCATTTGAACTAGTTAAGGGGTGCTGCTACCTAATTCAGCCAGTTCATTTGGGCGTGCCTGAAAATCCCTTTCTGGGCTTGCACAAAGCTTGTGTGGGGCTGTCTGCATATATAGTGTAGACATGCCATTAAAGTTATGTTAATACGCCTTCTGGTGGTAATGTGTGTTGAGTAAAATAATTCTGAGCTAGCTTTTTGCTCATCAAGGTGCGATCTTCAAATATGAATATCCAGAACGCATTTAGAAAAAAATCTCATGGTTTTTGATCTCAGACTGTCTCACAAAGCTGTCTTAGTTGAAAATTTTGAAAACTGTGCCGCAGCAGTGGGAAAGCACTTAAAATAAAATTCTTAAATAACATTTTGAATTATTACATGATACCTGAATTTTTCCATAACTCTGTCTATGAACTATTAGTGCTGACAGAAAGAACCATATACTGTGGGAATGAAAATCTGAATTATTATCAGGTATTTTTTGCATAAGAAATCCCAAAATAGTTTGTAATATGAATGGGAATATTACTTGGTTACTCTCAGCATGCTCCCTTTCCCAATCCCCTGCTCTGAAAAGCCTAGTAAAAATTTCAGTAGAAGAGGCAGAAAAGTTAACAGATACGTAGTACTTTGGACCTGTTTGGACAGAACTACCAGCTTCATCTTGTCTGAATGGGGAAACAAAACATATGTGAGCTTTGCAAGTTTTCCATTCTTATCAGATGAACTGCTAATAAAGATAAGTTTGAACATAGCAGTTGCAAGCTAAACTTGTCAGAATTTCTTGTAAAGGTTAGCCTTTAGGTTAGTCTCTAGTTCAGCTCCACTTTTTGAACATGGTGATTAATGTATTTCTTGCATGCAGAATTTGAAATGCTGGGGTAAAGGTATGTTGCATTTATCTCAGTTGAATCTCTGAGTCTGCTTCTATTTGGCAGAGTGCATACTCTAGTCTGTGAGCAGATCAGCATACAGGAAATTCAAGTGTCTGATACCACGTCCTTTATGGTGTCCTTACTCTGTCACACAACTGTATACAGTTGTAATAAATACAGTGATGCTGTAGGGCATCTTCTTGAAGAGTAGTTTAGACCATTTCAGTAGCTGCCTTTCTTGAGGCTTTTGGGCTTTTTGATAAAGTTTTGACTGTAAGCTATATTGAGACCTAGTTCGAAGTGTTAGAAGGGGACTGTAGTGATAGGACAAGAGGTAATGGGTCCAAACATAAACAAGGGAATTTTAGGTTAGATATGAGGAAGAAGTTCTTTACTGTGAGGGTGGTGAGGCACTGGAATGGGTTGCCCAAGGAAGTTGTGAATGCTCCATCCCTGGCAGTGTTCAAGGCCAGGTTGGATGGAGTCTTGAGTGACATGGTTTAGTGCAAGGTGTCCCTGTCCATGGCAGGGGGGTTGGAACTTGATGATCTTAAGGCCCTTTCCAACCTAAACTGTTCCATGATTCTAAAGAGCCTGTTGTTAAAAATACAAAGATTCTGAGAATGAAGAACGCTTTTCAGTCCCCAGTCTTTGTATTCAACAAAGAATTGTGTGTATTGTGGAACTGGAGGGAAATGTGTATTGAGACAAGGAGGGTTTTGGTAGCCCAGTTATCCAAGTGCTTGTGAACTTGTGCATGAAACAATTTGAACAAGTTCAAATGTGTATCTCTAGTATACAAAAATTAAAATTGTATTATAAGGCTCTTCAGGGTTTTTTTCTGTTTTGCAGGTAGAAAAAATAACTGGCCCCCTCTTCCTGAGAATTTTCCAGTAGGTCCTTGTTTCTACCAGGACTTTTCTGTAGACATTCCTGTAGAATTCCAGAAGACGGTAAAGGTTATGTACTATTTGTGGATGTGTAAGTATTTTCTAATTTTTTTATTTTTTTTTTTTTTTTTCAGAAAACCAAAAGTGCCTATTCAAACTTGACGATACATGCCTGCTGCATTGGCTTTTGTAACATCTGTAGTGAGAAGTTATTTTAAATTCAGAAGTTAAATGTTGAAGTAAAGTATTTTTGTTAGTTTCAGTTTTACAAGTATTGAATTATTTCATAGAAAGTTCCACAGAAAAAAAGGAGGAGATTATCCTAAGGCATTTTGGTTCCAGTATATTGCAATTTTCTGTTTTAACTGTCTCTGTTATTGTAAAATGAGCTTTGACCATTTATTAGCTTTGAAATAATTCTACTTATTTTAACAATTCTAAGTTTTTAAAATCAGCTTATATATTAAGAAATATAATTCACTATCAGTTTTAACAGACTTGTGACTTTAAGGATTGTAATATCCCTTTGCTTTAATATACATAGTTGTGTATCCTTTAATATAGTTTTTAGTCTGTATTGGACACTTAATATCATCTTTGTTTAAAAAAAATAGTGCAAAATAAATCAGCTGAGGAATCAGTCCATGTTAAAACTATCCTTTGCACACCAAGAATGCTCTACGTCATCTTTGTGCGGTTAATTTTGTCCCCATTCAGGTGCTGTGTTTTGACTGGAGAAATGCTGCATGAACCAAACATACAAATGCCACAATATTTGTTTTTTTTTTGCCTTGTCCACTGTGATGAGAGCGTAATAATTACTCTGAGAATGAGGAAATACCAAAGATTTAGGTGCTTTGATGTGTTTAATATATTGTTATAGTGCTAAGGGAATATGAATGTAAGAGCTTTTCTGTATTTTTTTTAAGTCTTCAGATTTAGTTAAATTTCCATAAATTTATCTGGAAATCTGGTAATCTTATTACTGTGATTGAACCACATAATTGATACACATAAATGAGCAGTCAGCGCCGAATCACGTTAATTCCACTTCATCATAATCAGCTGTCTATATTCATTGCTGGGTCATTAATCTTGAAATAAGCAACTAAATCCACTGTAGAGTATATGACTAGTCACTCTTATAAATCTGACAGACATGGCAGACTTACATGAAATCTACGATCAGATACTTCAGAATTTTAGGATAGTTATGAATTCTGGTCATTTTCAGGACTGAGTTCTGGAAGTGCTGTATGTTTCAAATACAAGGTGAAGTTGGGCGGTGAGAATTGGAATACTGATACTGGTTTTATTTCTCTTTCTTATGGCAATAAATAGAGGAAGCAGCAACATTATAGTATTTCAAAATATGTAGGAGTTGTGCTTTTACAATAATGTGACACAATTTCTTCTAGATAGCCTGAGTTTTTTTAACTGAGTCCTCTTAGTCTTTTCTTTCTTTAGCTCTACTACTCTCTGACTTGGGTATTACTCAGGAATGAAGGAGAAGGGCATAATGAAGGAAGAGGCAAAATCTTCAGGCTAAAAAAATAGTTCAACACAGGATTCCATGTGTTAGGGCTGGCTGTTAAATCAGTCCTTGTGAGTTAACTTTTCCAGGATTGTACCTATTTGGTTTGCCTCATTTTTCATTAGAGTGGCTATGCTTCCTCAGTGGAGGCACTTAACTACCAGCCTGTTTCTGTTTGCTGCTCTGTCCTGTATTTTGTTTCCTTCCCCAGAACTTCATAAGTCTTGTAAAGCCTGTGGGTTCTGTGAACATAAACACATTTGCGTAAATCTAGTACTAAGTGCTCAGCACTTTGTAAAGTAGGTTAATTTTCCTCTTTCTTTTTAGCAATCACAGGAGCAAACCTCTCTGTTTCAGTATTCTGTGTGTTTTCATATTAGCAGCAATTTTTGTATTTTTATTACTGGTCTTTGTGTCTCTGAGGAAACTTTTTTTGCCTGTTTCAGTTCCATATGCTCTTCATCTCATGAGAAAACAATTTATGTGTCAGTATTCCATGAGTTCATCCATCTTGTATAGAAATCAGAGTTTTCTGATTCCTTGATGTAGTTTTATCTTTTACACTTCAACATTGTTGTTTGTTCCCCTGGGAGAATTTTTATTTTTTTTTTTTTTCATTTTACTGGCTGAGTGATCTCATGTTGAATTTGTAAACTGCAGCAATCAATTAGCAATGGATTTTTTCAGCTGCTATGGAGCTTTTCCATTCTATCTTTGGTTACCCTTGCTGTTTAAGTGACTTTCAAATAGAATGGTTTTGTGGCTTTTTAGCACCGAGCACTACTTTTTAGATGTTCCTGTGCTGTTAATAGTGTCTCTTGACCTGTATCTAGCACCACATTTTTTTTTCCTCAAAAGCTTGTGTTTTCTAGCTACTTTGCCTGCAGGTTGATAGTGTGTATAAAATGAGCGGTACTGGTTCTTGAAGAGTATTTCTTATTTGAAGTTACAAACTGAAGAGCTGCTTAATCTCATGAAAGCTTTGTGGTATTTGGGTTTGTGACTTTATATAGGTTATGAATGTTTCGATTTTCTATGAGAAAAACTTTAAAAAAGTTTTCAAAGACCAGTGAAGTAAAAATGTGGATTCTGGTAGAAAACCAATACCATAAAGTGCCAACTTTTATGGTATTTTTTTCTGTTTAGGACACTTTCATCTTATCTGTCCTTCTGACTGAGGATACGATCAATAGCACATGTATCAATCTGTGCTGATGTTTGTTCTGCCTGTTCTTGGGAACTTCCAAGGATGGACACTTTCCCTCCAAGCCAGTTCTAGTGTGTTGCTGTCTTTTATTGTTAAAAGCTGTTTCCCAATATATAATTTAATTCTCCTTTCTGTGTTTGATCTTCCCTGTGGTGTCCAGTGTTGTTATGGAGAATGCATGCATCCTCATTAGTCATCTCCTTTTGGCTAAATTAGCATAGTTTACTCAGCGTTTCTTTGTAGGTTATGTTTTCTAGAGGTCTGATTGCTTGGTTGATGTCTTAGAGATTCATTCCCTATTATTATGGATCTTTTAGTGTGTAGCGTCAAGAAATGTGGATATTGTACAGTATTTTAGCTGAAGTCCTGATGTATTGTGTAGAGAAGAAAAACCACCTTCATATTTTGGTAGCAAGTGTTTATGTTATGGGTTGAGCTAAGCCAAATGTTTTCTAATATTTTTTTTTCTTATGGAAAATACATTGTTTGTAGGGTTGGTTTGCACGTTTTTTGCTCACCCTAACTCCAAAAAGAGCACAACAGACAAGGAGCTACATTTGAAGGCATTCTGTGCTCCAAGGTTGCATGTAATCAGACTTCACCAGCTTTGTCCGCAGTTGTTGGTTGCCTTGTGGCTTCAAAACCCTTCATTTTGTAGGCATCGCATTCGCCTTACTGCAGTCCATTACAGAGCGACAGTCCAGCTGATTCCTGGGAAGAAGCGCATTCTTTTGTCATGTGTCATAGTGAGGACTTCAGTTTCCCTGGAATACGATCAGTAAACCATTACTGAAATGAAACTTATTAGCAGAAATCTGTCTTCATAGAATCCCAAATGGGACTGCAAAATAATAATCTCAAGAACGCAGATGCTGAATAGCATCTACATACGTAAAGACCATATATGGTCTTTATCTACAACTCATTTGCAAGCATTAATGTTTGATAAAGTGTAGTTAATTAAGACAGGGGATGTATATCTAAGTAGAATTGTTCTGTACAAGGAAGTTTAATAAAAGTGGAGTTGAGTCTCGGTATGTATTAAAATAATGTAATTTGCCATTGTTGACTCTTACTCTGGCACGATGAATGCCCTTTTCTCATTTTCAACCTGAGCTGCTTCAAAGCTAAACATGGAGAAGGATTTCTTAGGTCACTTCAGACTAAGTACTGTGTTGGTGTAGCTG